AATTGGATACTGTGACAATAAGTCGATAAAATACTACAAAATTTCTTCTTCCATTATACCATAAAAAGCAGTTTCCCAAAAGCATTTCCTCAACATGCAACATCCTCCAAATATAAAATTATAAACATACGTCCTAATATGTCAATATACGTACATGAGAGAAAGACCGAAGTCGTCTTAAGAGGGTAATAGGTGTCTATATACAAAATGTCTAACTGGATAAATTACAAAATAATAAAAAAAAAACACAGGAGACTAGTGGACAAGATGCATTGGATGGAGATGGGAGAGAAACTTATTACTCTCCGATTAGTCTCGGCAAAGCCCTTCACGAGTAGACTCGGTAACATTTTCATAGTCATCTTGATAAAGTGGGCGTTTTCCTCCTAGGTAACATAGCACCAAGCTTATTAAAAACAATGAGGCATTGGTGATCCAATAAGAGATTCCGTAACTCCAAAAATGTAAAAGCAGTATAAAAATGTATGACTGTTATATGAAATGTAGTTAAATACATTATAAGCTGGACTATGAAACATCCATATGGCAGTCATCCACTCCAAATTTCCATTACTATTCTCCCCATCTTGTTAGAGCATAAAAAAGATAAGTGTGTATGTACAAAAGTCATCTAATGCAGCAGCAGAGTTCTGCTGGGGAAGTAGTGCACCCTGGAGCAGTGTCCCGTCAACATGGGTAAAGCATGGCAGATTTGCACGTGAGAAGTGATTTATAAGCACTTTATGTAAAACAAGGAACATTGTATCCTTAGGCACTAGCACTAGACCACAGCGACTAACACATAAATATGAAATCCGAAGTATCACATTCAGCTTGCCAGAGGGCAAAGTTCATCAGTGTCAATATCAACTTTCGTAAATTATATACAGTAATCACCGTCGTAAAATTCATTTTTCAGTGACATACTGTCCCTGTGAATAACAAAATTATCCTTGGAAATAATTAAAATCCAATACAAATCACATTTGCATGTGTGCACGCAAACTTTATAAAACACATCAGTTCTTCATCTGGACACGTTATTATTGCACTATGGAAGAACACTTGTACTGATGAGAGTCTCAGTAGCTGTTCTTGTAACAAACAGAAGTGGTCCAGTATTTCTTAAATATCCACAGAAATTATGTCATCACGTCAGGCCTCGTGGCAGACCATCACTAGTCAAGATTGATGGTTTGGGCGGCCGATATACTGCAGGAACTAGATAGGTGACGAGGGACTCACAGCTGCCAGCTGGAGGGGGGGCATGGGCGCCAAGGGTCCTGCATGGCTGTAGGACTCCAGGATGTAGCCAATGGACTGCAGGCGGTGTGCCAGGTTCAGCTTGCGACAGTAAGGGTCAGCATCCAGCGACTCCAGGATCTACAGGGAAATAACATTCATATAATTTTTGTCTAAACATAATTTAATATAATATAAAAAAGTACGGTAGGTAATTGAAAATAAGGTACTGTATATGCCCCCGCTACAGCACACACACACACACGTACGCTTCTCCTTTGTTTACAGTTTATATATTTATTCATGATCCAGACACAAGAAAGAGTAGAGTAACTAGGTGTGGAAATTATTTTATAGAATTCCAAGCAATATTATTTGCACAAAACCTCGTAGCAGCTTGCCCGGCGGAACTCTAAAGCACACTCGGATATTTTGGGTGAATTCAACGTGAAATACTAGTAGCCTTTTTGTCTTGGGGAGATCATGGATTTCTTACTCTTAGTCTTTCACAACTAATAAACAATATACAGGAAAACTGACATTTGAGCAATGGTACCAGTAGAAGAAGTTACTTACCAGCTCATGGTACTTGGTGACGTAAATGTAGAGCTCTTTGAGTGCGGCCAAGTTATCAAAATGGCCGGTGTATGCGGCAGAAAGCTGCTGCATGTGCTGGCCAAGCTCCTGCTCGCTCACGGGCTGTGCTGTCGCTACGTCACTGTAGAAATTCTTTACCTGGAATCAAGAAAAGAAAATGTCATAGGAGATGGAAGTATGCAGTCAGAAGTTCCATTACTTTTAATTTAAATGTATGTTTATTAAAGTCAATACGAATCCCAAGATATGCCAAAACTGTGAAACGAGACACTATTTAACTTGATAGAGGGAGAAATTTTTTTTACAAAACAGAGTTAACTGACCATATTTCAGAATATAAATGGCCGTAAAGCAATGTCAATTAGGTGAAAAGTTTGTGTTTCAGACGTACACGTACCTGTGCTCTGTATTTTGGGATGTCTTTTGCAAAGAGAAGTTTATTGGAGGGTGAGTCCTTGCCCAGTCTATGCTCTGTAGTGGAGCAAGCATCAATGAATGTCTGTGCGATGACAGACAGACAGGAGTCCACAGTCGAAGTCTTGCCGACGTCGGAAATGAAGTCCGGGTTTTTGATGAAGTTGACCCAGAACCTCAGAGGAAGGCAATTGGATTTCCAGGCGTGGATGACCTCGGGGTCAGTAATACCATGGGCGCTAGCAGCGTCGTCTAGCAGGTCAAACAGCCATTTGACAGCGGGAGGTAAACCGTCATTGGCACTCAGAATGGTCCTAAAGAAGTCGTCGACGAACTGCTGGACGGTGCCCTTGGTGGATAGCAGTCGAGTCAGGAATATTTCCGGTATGGCTTTGTGCGTGCCATAAATGCGATCTCTGCCGTCCCTGGAGGAGCCCATAGTTCCTGAGGCGTTATCATCGGCTGTTCGCACCAGGTGGTAGAGATGAACACCTGGGCCGCTGCTACGCCCCACGGTGTTGCTGCCACAGTCGCCGCCACCCTCACCCCCTGGAGAATTAAGAGGCGAGACACTGTTGGCATACGAGTAGTAGCCTGTACCTGCAATTACATACAAGCCTCGTTTAAGAACGGGACACTAACACTTCACATTCATACACAAAATTATACTCATCTCTAGTTGATCAGTGATGCAATTAGTAGAAAACTTACGTTTAAGTCATAACAGTTTCTATGAGCATCTCAACATGAACAGAAAACTACATTTAACCCTTTAAGACCTAAAATGTCAAACTTTGAACACAAACACACACACACACACACACACACATACACACATACATACACATAAACACACACACACACACACATGTGGATTACCAATATACAAGCCAAAACGGACAGAATGGTGGTGAAAAGCCAAAGTCAAACATGTGGAAAAAGACAACAATAACCGGTTTTTCTCCAGTGGTACAAATCTATTACCTATACATTGTGATCCAAATTACCAAACAACTAGAAATCTTATCAAGATTTGTGATTGGCGAAGATCCTACAACAAGGAACAGGAATGAAAACGTACCGTAAAGAATAACGAACGTGAAGGAACGTGGTTGACGATCAACACCGAGTGCCTGAGTAACCGATGCAGGGAATCCGACTAATGAAGTACAGGAATCCGAAAACGACCTCCAGCACATCACATAGCCAACCAATCCACTCTAATACACGAATAATAACAAGTAAACACACACAATTTACTTTTCGGGAGAGTAGATTATCGACTTTTCAGGGAAGTAGATTATCGACTTTTTGGGAAATATTTCCTAATTTTCCGAAATAGATTATCATAGAAAACGGGAAATTTGTATCACAGAAAATGGGAAATATCTACTTGCTGGGAAAGTTGGTTATCTACTTGTCATAGAAAACCGAAAATGGGAAATAGAAAGTTATCTACTTTCCCGAAAAGTAGATTATCGGAAAGTAGATTATCGACCTCTTAGGGAAGTAGATTATCGATTTTTGGGGAAATATTACCTAATTTTCCGAAGTAGATTATCATAGAAAACGGGAAATTTGTATCACAGAAAATGGGAAATATCTACTTTCTGGGAAAGTTGGTTATCTACTTATCATAGAAAACGGGAAATTTGTATCATAGAAAATGGGAAATATCTACTTTCCGGGAAAGTTGGTTATCTACTTTCCGGGAAAGTTGGTTATCTACTTTCCCGAAAAGTAGATTATCTACTTTTCAGGAAAGTAGATTATCGACCTCTTAGGGAAGTAGATTATCGATTTTTGGGGAAATATTACCTAATTTTGCGAAGTAGATTATCATAGAAAACGGGAAATTTGTATCACAGAAAATGGGAAATATCTACTTTCTGGGAAAGTTGGTTATCTACTTGTCATAGAAAACGGGAAATTTGTATCATAGAAAATGGGAAATATCTACTTTCCGGGAAAGTTGGTTATCTACTTTCCCGAAAAGTAGATTATCTACTTTTCAGGAAAGTAGATTATCGACCTCTTAGGGAAGTAGATTATCGATTTTTGGGGAAATATTACCTAATTTTGCGAAGTAGATTATCATAGAAAACGGGAAATTTGTATCACAGAAAATGGGAAATATCTACTTTCTGGGAAAGTTGGTTATCTACTTGTCATAGAAAACGGGAAATTTGTATCATAGAAAATGGGAAATATCTACTTTCCGGGAAAGTTGGTTATCTACTTTCCCGAAAAGTAGATTATCTACTTTTCAGGAAAGTAGATTATCGACCTCTTAGGGAAGTAGATTATCGATTTTTGGGGAAATATTACCTAATTTTGCGAAGTAGATTATCATAGAAAACGGGAAATTTGTATCACAGAAAATGGGAAATATCTACTTGCTGGGAAAGTTGGTTATCTACTTGTCATAGAAAACGGGAAATTTGTATCATATAAACTGGGAAATATCTACTTTCCGGGAAAGTTGGTTATCTACTTTCCCGAAAAGTAGATTATCTACTTTTCAGGAAAGTAGATTATCGACTTTCAGGGGAAGCAGATTATCGATTTTTGGGGAAATATTACCTAATTTTGCGAAGTAGATTATCATAGAAAACGGGAAATTTGTATCATATAAACTGGGAAATATCTACTTTCCGGGAGAGTTGGTTAACTACTTTCCCGAAAAGTAGATTATCTACTTTTCGGGGAAGTATATATGTACGTATAGTATAATAAAACAATAGTAATTCTCTTGGCACTCACTTTATTTGTAGTAAAGTTTCAAGATTTTACACAATGCCCTCATACTCACATTTACAAAAATACTTTACAATAACAAAAGTTCTCTGTACAGATTTATACAATGTCCCCAAAATTCTTCTTCGTCACCTCAATAGTAGCTGACCAAAGCAGTTTATTATTTTGCATAGTAAATTTATATAACTAACTATGCTGGTGGGACCTGGGGAGAGAGTGGCGGGTTCTGGGGAAGGGTGCGAGTTAGAACTGTGAGGGCAGAAAGTATAAAATGACAAGAAATAAAAAATGAGGGCAGAAATATAAAAAGTGATAGAGGTCCGAATTTCAATTATGTAATAGAGAAGTTGACATGTGAATGAAGTGGTAGTGTGGAAATGAATTAGTAGCATCAACACTAATTCAAAGTCAAGAAAAAAACAACTATGAAATGAGAAATTATTTGACATGATAATAAAGGGAGGAGCAACCTTTACAAAACAAGAGTTAACTAAATATATATCACAAAACAGTAAAAAAAAATAATAAAATCAATGAAGCATATTAAAGAAACAGGCAATAATGAGAAACACAGTATAATTGGATACTGTGACAATCCTAAGTCGAGAGACTTGCGTTGGTCTAAATAAATACTGGACAAAATTTCTTCTTCCATTATAAATGTTAACCATGCAAAAAGCAGTTTCATCCAAAAGCATTTCCTCAACATGCATGTCACATCCTCCAGTTGTCCTAATATAAAATTATAAACATACGTCCTAATAAAAAATCAATATACGTACATGAGAGAAAGACCGAAGTCGTCTTAAGAGGGTAATAGGTGTCTATATACAAAATGTCTAACTGGATAAATTACAAAATAATAAAAAAAAAAACACAGGAGACTAGTGGACAAGATGCATTGGATGGAGATGGGAGAGAAACTTATTACTCTCCGATTAGTCTCGGCAAAGCCCTTCACGAGTAGACTCGGTAACATTTTCATAGTCATCTTGATAAAGTGGGCGTTTTCCTCCTAGGTAACATAGCACCAAGCTTATTAAAAACAATGAGGCATTGGTGATCCAATAAGAGATTCCGTAACTCCAAAAATGTAAAAGCAGTATAAAAATGTATGACTGTTATATGAAATGTAGTTAAATACATTATAAGCTGGACTATGAAACATCCATATGGCAGTCATCCACTCCAAATTTCCATTACTATTCTCCCCATCTTGTTAGAGCATAAAAAAGATAAGTGTGTATGTACAAAAGTCATCTAATGCAGCAGCAGAGTTCTGCTGGGGAAGTAGTGCACCCTGGAGCAGTGTCCCGTCAACATGGGTAAAGCATGGCAGATTTGCACGTGAGAAGTGATTTATAAGCACTTTATGTAAAACAAGGAACATTGTATCCTTAGGCACTAGCACTAGACCACAGCGACTAACACATAAATATGAAATCCGAAGTATCACATTCAGCTTGCCAGAGGGCAAAGTTCATCAGTGTCAATATCAACTTTCGTAAATTATATACAGTAATCACCGTCGTAAAATTCATTTTTCAGTGACATACTGTCCCTGTGAATAACAAAATTATCCTTGGAAATAATTAAAATCCAATACAAATCACATTTGCATGTGTGCACGCAAACTTTATAAAACACATCAGTTCTTCATCTGGACACGTTATTATTGCACTATGGAAGAACACTTGTACTGATGAGAGTCTCAGTAGCTGTTCTTGTAACAAACAGAAGTGGTCCAGTATTTCTTAAATATCCACAGAAACTATGTCATCACGTCAGGCCTCGTGGCAGACCATCACTAGTCAAGATTGATGGTTTGGGCGGCCGATATACTGCAGGAACTAGGTAGGTGACGAGGGACTCACAGCTCAGACAGTTGACCTGCCAGCTGGAGGGGGGGCATGGGCGCCACGGGTCCTGCATGGCTGTAGGACTCCAGGATGTAGCCAATGGACTGCAGGCGGTGTGCCAGGTTCAGCTTGCGACAGTAAGGGTCAGCATCCAGCGACTCCAGGATCTACAGGGAAATAACATTCATATAATTTTTGTCTAAACATAACTAAATATAATATAAAAAAGTACGGTAGGTAATTGAAAATAAGGTACTGTATATGCCCCCGCTACAGCACACACACACACACGTACGCTTCTCCTTTGTTTACAGTTTATATATTTATTCATGATCCAGACACAAGCAGAGTAGAGTAACTAGGTGTGGAAATTATTTTATAGAATTCCAAGCAATATTATTTGCACAAAACCTCGTAGCAGCTTGCCCGGCGGAACTCTAAAGCACACTCGGATATTTTGGGTGAATTCATCGTGAAATACTCGTAGCCTTTTTGTCTTGGGGAGATCATGGATTTCTTACTCTTAGTCTTTCACAACTAATAAACAATATACAGGAAAACTGACATTTGAGCAATGGTACCAGTAGAAGAAGTTACTTACCAGCTCATGGTACTTGGTGACGTAAATGTAGAGCTCTTTGAGTGCGGCCAAGTTATCAAAATGGCCGGTGTGGGCGGCAGAAAGCTGCTGCATGTGCTGGCCAAGCTCCTGCTCGCTCACGGGCTGTGCTGTCGCTACGTCACTGTAGAAATTCTTTACCTGGAATCAAGAAAAGAAAATGTCATAGGAGATGGAGGTATGCAGTGAGAAGTTCCATTACTTTTAATTTAAATGTATGTTTATTAAAGTCAATACGAATTCCAAGATATGCCAAAACTGTGAAGCGAGACACTATTTAACTTGATAGAGGGAGAAATTTTTTTATAAAACAGAGTTAACTGACCATATTTCAGAATATAAATGGCCGTAAAGCAATGTCAATTTGGTGAAAAGTTTGTGTTTCAGACGTACACGTACCTGTGCTCTGTATTTTGGGATGTCTTTTGCAAAGAGAAGTTTATTGGAGGGTGAGTCCTTGCCCAGTCTATGCTCTGTAGTGGAGCAAGCATCAATGAATGTCTGTGCGATGACAGACAGACAGGAGTCCACCGTCGAAGTCTTGCCGATGTCGAAAATGAAGTCCGGGTTCTTGATGAAGTTGACCCAGAACCTCAGAGGAAGGCAATTGGATTTCCAGGCGTGGATGACCTCGGGGTCAGTAATGCCATGGGCGCGGGCAGCGTCGTCTAGCAGGTCAAACAGCCATTTGACAGCGGGAGGTAAACCGTCATTGGCACTCAGAATGGTCCTAAAGAAGTCGTCGACGAACTGCTGGACGGTGCCCTTGGTGGATAGCAGTCGAGTCAGGAATATTTCCGGTATGGCTTTGTGCGTGCCATAAGTGCGATCTCTGCCGTCCCTGGAGGAGCCCATAGTTCCTGAGGCGTTATCATCGGCTGTTCGCACCAGGTGGTAGAGATGAACACCTGGGCCGCTGCTACGCCCCACGGTGTTGCTGCCACAGTCGCCACCACCCTCACCCCCTGGAGAATTAAGAGGCGAGACACTGTTGGCATACGAGTAGTAGCCTGTACCTGCAATTACATACAAGCCTCGTTTAAGAACGGGACACTAACACTTCACATTCATACACAAAATTATACTCATCTCTAATTGATCAGTGATGCAATTAGTAGAAAACTTACGTTAAGTCATAACAGTTTCTATGAGCATCTCAACATGAACAGAAAACTACATTTAACCCTTTAAGACCTAAAATGTCAAACTTTGAACACACACACACACACACACACACACACGAAGCTCCTCGGCATCACCATAGACAACAAACTAAATTGGAAACCACACGTCAGTGAAGTTATCAAATCCTCCAGTTTCCGTCTCCACCTCCTCCGCCGACTCAAGTCCCTCGGAGTTCCTGCACACGAGCTCCTCAGTGTTTACACAACATTCATACTTCCCAAGCTCACCTATGCCTCCCCCACCTGGTCTTCCTCCCTAAATGCCACACAACGTAAACACCTAGAAAAAGTGCAAAAGAGGCATGCAAGATTATTCTCTCCCTTCCTACTCCACATATCAAGAAGCGCTCAACACACTGACCCTTTCGACTCTCACTGACCATCACCACGACCTCATCTGCAAATTTGGTAAGAAGCTTCTACACCATCCCCGACACCGGCTCCTACTACCACCTGAGATCCCTAGTCCGAGAATTGCTGTTCGACACCACAACCGCATCCAGCCCATACGTGCACGAACTGATCGGTATAAGAACAGCCCAGTCCCAACCATTGTAAAATTATCAATAACTTGTAATAAATCAGTGTATTCACTCCCAGTAAACACTACTCCTTGCACTGTCACTATGTTGAAATGAACTGTAGTTTGAGCTTTTCCCCATCTAGTTATTATATGTCTTATTTGTGTCACTTATGTTACTTGTATATTATTTGTAATTCGTAACCCATTCCCCAAATATGTAACTGTATATTTTCAGCCTTCTGGCTGCCAAGCTCTTTCAATAAACCGTTAATTATTATTATTATTATTATTATTATTATTATTATTATTATTATTATTATCACACACACACACACACACACACACACATGTGGATTACCAATATACAAGCCAAAACAGGGACAGAATGGTGATAAGTAGATAACCAACTTTCCCAGAAAATAGATATTTCCCATTTTCTGTGATACAAATTTCCCGTTTTCTATGATAATCTACTTCGGAAAATTAGGATATATTTCCCAAAAAGTCGATAATCTACTTCCCCTGAAAGTCGATAATCTACTTTCCCGAAAAGTAGATAATCTACTTTTCGGGAAAGTAGATAACCAACTTTCCCGGAAAGTATATATTTCCCATTTTGTGATACAAATTTCCCGTTTTGTATGATAAACAAACACAAAAGAGTACTGTTATGTGTTCAAAGAGATGAATTACACTACACCAGCAGACACTTGACTACCAGCACTGTGGCGGAAACAGTGGGTGGTGGTGTGGAGATTCAATCATTCTCATGCTGGTGGAGTTGTGCGCCCCGGGTGAACTTTATGAATACATTAATAGATTATAACTTTAACAGAAATTAAAGTTTGCAAACTGCCTAACATTTCAGAAAAACAGACACGAGTAAAATAAGAGATGTAACAGAAGCAGCAGACCCTGGTGGAGGATGTGTTAGTGAAAGGCAAAGTTCCGACGACATCGGGAGGAGTCAGTTAGCACCAGCGGTAGTCTCTCAGTCCGCTCTAGTGAGAGAATATAAAGTTGGAGACAGCCTCACTACTCTCTCGCTGACAACGACAGAATCGAGTGTGCATCAAACTGAGAAAATTGAGTGAGAGAAGGAGTAAACGGCCTCTTCCAACGGGAACGATCCTTCTCTCCCAGAAAATGGTCATTTCTTGTGGTTATAAAGGATGGAAAGCTGATAATTGCCTAATACGTGTCGGTTGGAGGACCTTCCCATGCCCTGGCTGGGGCCATCAATCTCTGGCTCAGTATCCATCCCCTGGTGGCCCACCCCTGTAGCGCCAGCTTCATATTTCACGCTGATGGCTCTCTCGTCCACTGAATGACCAAACCTAGACAAACGTTGCCTCCAGACTTTATTCAAAGCCGAAAAGTGACAAGAAAAATAACACGCAAATATGTGGGGTGCACAACACTGGCCAGCCGGTGCTACCACTGCCACCTTAACAGTTCATGGAATGTACCAAGTGGGAAGGTGTGGGGGTGTAGGGAGGTGTAGGGAGGTGTGTGGGGGGTGTTGGGAGGTGTGGGGGTGTGTAGGGAGGTGTGTGGGGTGTAGGGAGGTGTGGGGGTGTAGGGAGGTGTGGGGTTGGGAGGTGGAGGTGTGTGGGTTGTAGGGAGGTGGTCTCGCCATCAGCACCACAACGCTCCACCGAATAATGCGCCCCACCTGAGCACACTGACAGGCAAAATGGATGACGCCTAATACTAAGAGGCGTCACGATGGGTGAGCACAGACTAGTCAACACCGCGCCACAGCCAAGAGCAACATCGCATACATTCTCAACACCAAATTCAACACACTCGATTCATCTGCACGACATTATATATACAGTAATTTAACATACTGAAGCGGAAACTGATATGATAAAACATCCAGGGTTCCTAACAGTTTAATTTTTGGTGTGTGTGTGAATGAAGCTGGCGGCCTAAATGTTGGACACCAGATGGCAGCACAGACCATTTGGTCAATGTTAAAATATGGCGTTGAAGAGGCGCTGGTCTACTCCTGCCATTTACTAAGCGATCGCATTACTAATGGATTAGTCGGGGAAGGGAAGCCTCAATGTGAATTTCAGCTCTCCTGAGGCCGCGAGAATGGCTTCCGACATGGGGAAATTAAAATCTAATCGAGATACTGAATTAAACGTGAGCCACATTTTATCTCATTCAATCATTATTTTTTGTGTGTGTAAAGCATCGTGTTTAAGAATGGCGTATACCACAAACAGGTGAAGGTGAGCTGGCAGGTTAACTAGAGCTATGAAGTACCCATTACCTCATTCTTGTCCTGTTAATACCGATCCAAATTTCAAAAGGACCAGAGTTTGATTAATCGTTTGCACTGTCAGTAAGGGCGAACAACCTGTCTGGCGAGGACTGGTTGCTTTGATAAATACCTACTGCTTATAACTACGACTTCAAACATGCAGCTCCACGTATCCCGCCTCCAACCATGAGCCTGAATGTTATATAAGCGATGATTGGTCATGAAAGGCAATGTAATTCAGGTTCGATTTCAGAATACATAATAAATGCTGTGTTTACAAGTCAAATTTTATGATTCCATTCAGCAAGGCTACGGGCAAATGTGTGGCAAGTTATGTAGCAGTGTTGTATACATCGTATGTAGGAGCGCCGGGAGCTACAGTACATATTGCCCTTATTAATCCTTATATACAGTATATTCTTTACGGTATTCATTTCGGAAAACAAAAAATGGTCCCAAATTCTATCTAAATCTGTCAATACTTTTTAGTAAGATTTAAAGTAACATTTAAATGGACCATCCTGTTTAATGACAAGTCACCGGACAACGCTTAAATATTTCTCAAAATTCTTATGAAAAAATAAAAAGTTGTCTTATGTCGAGGGAGAGGTGGGCGGGTCCTGATGATGAGGCTCACCCACCACCTTATTACCGTGTCACTCAACAGTCCTTCAACTCTGAGTAATGGCTATACTGTACATGACGGCCTATACATGGACTAGTGACTGGGACTACACATGGACTGGTGACTGGGGCTACACATGGACTGGTGACTGGGGCTACACATTGGAACTGTTTTCAAGATAAATTACCGGGCGGCTGCTGGGATATTCTGAAGAGCACACCCAGATGGGCAGCGGCAGATAAATCGGAAAGTGGGCGGCGAGCAGGTGGGTGTGTAAGGGGTGAGTGAGGGTGACTTGTTGAGTACCTGGGTGGTGTGTTACCTCCCACACCCATGATGGATCACCTTCCCCCAGGGCCACGGAGTAGTAGTAGTTCCCCAGACTAGCTAAATCAGGCTCGCTGCCCCTCAACCTGTGTTCTATACCTCACCTCCTCTACACTGTTCCCTCATACTGCCTGTACTGACGTCTTCACTACTATGCCACGGATCAAGATAGAGCCATAACTCTCATAGTCTTACCCTCTGGTTGGCTGATAGTCTTACCCTCTGGTTGGCTGACCCCCCCCCCTTCCTCTACCCTCTCTCTCAACGCAACTATAACTGCTAAGTTAAGAGGCAAAACTGACTAAAGTATGAACTCGGCTGTGTCGTAACGGACCAGCTGGTGCGCAATAATTGTTCTCGCTGGACGCTTTGGGTACACATCCGGAAGTCATACACACAAAAATTAGACAGATACAAAGGCGGTTCCCAGCTAAGATGAGGTCCACACTCAAGACAATTCCCAGCTAAGATGAGGTCCACACTCAAGACAATTCCCAGCTAAGATAAGGTCCACACTCAAGACAATTCCCAGCCGCAACTAGTCATTCTCACTACTGTAACATACAGCCACTCCTCTCACCATCAGTAATACAGCAAGACACAGGCGACAATTTATCCCAACATCAACATTCCTCCGCCTCTCCCACCTTTCTAAATGAATCTTAACGAGTCCCACTACATCCCTAACACTCCCCAGGAACCCTATTATGCCAAATATTACCACTAAAGTCGGCGCCCCCCCATGAGCACCAACACTACCGAGCGAGGCGCCAGACAGAGGTCCTACTCAATAATTCCGGTGGTGGTCCTCCCCCCACAGCAGCAGCCGTAAATCCTGGCGGAGAGATGTACACATCCTCGCCCTGAATCACTCATGAAAATTCATCGGCTGCTGAGAAGGAACTGTCGTAAAGTTAATTCAATCATACGGCGCGTCGGACAGCAGCCGTGGGGGAGCCAGAGACAAGCGCAGCCACGGCCAACACACCATCACCACTGCGACCAGACGTGAGGAAGGAGCGGGTTGGGGAGTTAAGTGCAGGCGGAGAAGGAACATGTGCAGAGCAGAGAGACGTGAGGAAGGATGCCTTCTCTAACGGGAGAACATCAATGCGGGGGTGTACTGTAGGTGTTGAGGCCAGGTGTAGGTGTTGAGGACAAGTGTAGGTGTTTGAGGCCAGGTGTAGGTGTTTGAGGCCAGGTGTAGGTGTTTGAGGCCAGGTAAAGGTATTGAAGCCAGGTATAAGCAGAGTCGTGGAGAAATATCAACGGAAAGTGGTTAGTTGGGTTCTGAGGTGAATGGAGAGACAGATGAGGCTAGTTCGGCGGCGTGTGGAGGAACAGTGGCAGGTCTAGGGGCAGTTAGTGAGGGGTGTGGAGAAACAGATCTGAGTGATAGGCAGGACGCTGGGGAAGGGTAGGAGGAAGGTAGTGATGTATTGCGTGAGTTACAGTTCCTGGTGTGGTGAGGCGGGGACAGGTGTGGGGCAGCGGGGGCAGGTGTGGGGCAGCGGGAGGCGGGGACAGGTGTGCAGCAGCGGGAGGTGGAGACGCATGGGGCAGCGGGAGCCTACGTATGTGATAATAGTCTACGTACCTACACCGGCCTGTTTCACATTACACTTACCCCGCCATTTTGAAACCGTGATATTTTAAATAACTCAAAATTACTAAAACCAAGAAAAAGATGAACTAAAAACCAATACAACTCATCATAGATCGCCCTTGTGTTTGACGATAGTAAACAAGACTCGTCCTCGCCTGTTAGTGACCCAGAAAATATTACCAGATGGGGACTAAATTCAAATATAAATTATTAAAGCAGTCGAGAAATTTCTTCGCCAGCTATACTAATAACACGAAGAGAATAAACGAGAAAATTTAAGTGAAGTAAGGAAGAAAAAATGTGTGGAGGAGAGCAGCAAGTTTCTCTCCTCCGTCCCTGGCATCACCTTCGATAAGACGGCATGATAGATGGGCCATTTGCATCTTGGGAGGCTCAGGAACTATTTCAATTAAGGTAATAGCCGAGAAAGTTTACCAAAGGTTGACGAGCACTTGAGCCGGGTTGACTAAGACTAAAGATTGACGGCAGCTGCTGGCTCGGGGACGTGGAGGCAAGGACACTGTTGTTATGAAAGATTTTACAAAACTTAAAATAGTCTTTCCACTTACTTAGCCGCGTTTTATGTATATAGTTAGCGCTGTGTGTGTGTGTGTGTGTGTGTGTGTGTGTGTGTGTGTGTGTGTGTGTGTGTGTGTGTGTGTGTGGGTTTTAAAGTTTTTTCCTTGTCAAATAAAGACCAATTCATAAAAATATAATATACCCTTTGGTGTTGGTCGTACGTGTGACCTCCACAAACCATCACCTCAGATCAAAATCAGAAACATTTACCCAGAAACCATCTTGAACACAGGACAACCCTTAATACGTGCACACACACACACACAACACACACACCCTCATATATCAGTGGAGGTAATGACTAGACCTGACGACCAGAGAACAACTTGGGGCAACATCTCTCATTTTTCCATACTGTATGATCACCATCGGTTTTCAATACAGATTAAAGAAAAATTGCAGGGGGGGGTAGGGCGTGGAGGGGGTGCTATCAGGTCAAGCTTATCAACAAAATTAAAACACCCCTTACATCAACACATCCCCCCCCCACCCACTCACACCCCTAACAGATCTCACACACCCATACAGCTCCCGCACCTACCACCCACAGTGCAAACAAATACTAAAGCCTTCAGTTGTAACCTGTTTATAAAAAAGGGGAGGGAGGGAGGGAGGGAGGGAGGAGGGAGCACCTGAACATCCCAATACTGTCGAGGGGCAGTGAGGCGAATCGTGGACACAGGACTTCCATCAGTGGTGTACAATATGGCCGCTACACACCACCCACACCTACCCTACCCAACCCCAGTACCCCACCCCATTCCTGCCTTGTCCTGCCCTACCCTACCTTCCTTCCTTCCTTCCTTCCTTCCTTTCCCTGTCCTGCCCTGCTCTACTCTAACCATACCTTGCCTTCCTTGTCCTACCCTACTCTGCAATGTCTTGCCCTACCTCATCTCCCCTACCCTCTCCACCACCCAGGCTCACCCATGCCTATTCTAAGCTAGACTCCAATGATGGGTCCCAGTCGGGTAAGAGATGGTCAGCCGGGATTAAGAGTTCTCGTGGACAACAACCAATCAGTGTTGCCAATATACCACCAAGGACTCATTCAGTGTTACCAATATCACACCAAGTACTTATTCAGTGTTCCCAATATCACACGAAGGACTCAGACAGCGTTACCAATATCACACCTAGTACTCATTCAGTTTTACCAGGTACTCACAGTTGGAGGAGAAGGAGTCGTTCTGGCGCGGTATGAGAGCCATAACGGCGGAGTCCCGGACGCCGTAGTGAGCCAGGGTGTTGACGCCCCGCCACCCGCCCACGCCCGTCACCGTCGTTCTGTCCTCGTCACTGAGCGTCACACGTCCTGCACGCCCGTGACGCCACTCTGCAACACCAATACCACACTCCTTACCCATGATGAACCAAACTGGAATCAACGGTGCAACACAAGTTAACCTACTGGTATTGGCTCTCTGTAGTTTGCCGTAATTAAAATAAACTAAACTTATGTCAAAAAAATGCTAGTCCTATAGATGAAACAACTTGACACTATTATTATCGAGAATAATATATACAATTTTGATCACTATACTAATATAAAACAAGATATTTATTATATATGGATACAGGTATTAAAAGATGATGATATAATTCACAAGAGATACAATGATACAGACTGAAGGGAAGACTGACCTAGGTCGACCTCGTGGACGGAGGGTCGGAGGGACTGTGGGGTGTTGCGGTAGAGGGCGTCCAGGATCTTGGCCTTCACCTGGTTGATGGTGTCACAGTCCAGCACCTTCACCTGCACCTTCTCCTCGTACTCCTCAGCGTACATCGTCAGCGTCTGTAGGGCGGCGGGAACACACACCACGTTACCCACCGGTACCACACACTCCTGGCAGTCTTAAACAGTCTAAATGACAAAGACTTTTGGATTGATCTACTTGATGCACCAACAAAAGTGTGACCAAACCAAGTAATAAACAAATAATCTACTGTGCGAGAAGAGAGTGACGTGGTGAGCTACTCGTGCAGAGCAGTACAGGGCTACTGAGATATTCTGACATACGATGCAATCATGGAACTAGCAAGAGTGGTCAAGGGCAGTTGTGAAGATTTATCAGTTACTACACTACAAGGTGCGGCCTTGAGTGTGGGGGCGGGCGACCACAAGGGAGAATGGGTGGCACATGGCCGGCCGGCCGCCCACCCACAACACCGCCGGTCACATTGAGAGTACTACTAGGAGGGCGGCTGGGCGCTGTTGCTCTACTTTGTGTTTCAACACCACTGTCACCCAGTCGCTTCCACCACCACCACCACCACTACCTCCCTGTGTTAGTGCTACAACACCCTACCGGTCAACGCTATTTTACCATTACTTATAACAAGTAAGTCAATACCAGCCCACATACTGGAGTAGTTAGTCACATTTTATCATCAACAGTTCTAAAAACGACGATAACGGGATGTTACGTTACTGCTACTCGGTAATACACACATGTGGTCAGTAAGAGCTACAAGACTCACTAGTATCGTCACCAACACATGACCGCCACAATACTAATAGGTAAAACTATCGCCCCTCCCTGTCGCGCCCCTCCCTGTCGCGCCCCTCCCTTCCGCGCCCCGCCTCACATGGCTTGCCAGTCTGGGAAGTGGACACCAGAGGGATTATCTCGAGCGTGGTAATGTCCCCAGGATCAAAAATTCGCGTCACACTACCAAAAATTGCTATGGTTCACCGAAAAATGACGCCTTCCCACATTAAAAATACGGAGTGATAATCTTCTCTACAGCTGATATTTGGTTTTAAACAAACAACTGAGTAGCTGAGTGGAGGTGATGTAAGGTGTGTTGAGGTACAAGTGTGGAGTGGTGGTTACCCCGGGTGTGGGGGGCTGAGCTTATGACTGTCACAATAACGACGCTTATAAATAGGTAACACAAGTCGGTTCTTAATCAAGCGTAAACTATGGTATTCAATTATTCACAAAGTTACGTTCACTTTTCTATTTAAACATTAAAAAGGTGGTTATTTTACGACTAATTATTTAAATTAATGCGTGAAAAAATATGAACGTTCTTAATTTCACTTGAGTGTGACATACAGCGTGTGTCACGACCCTGTAACACATCAACAAGAGCACCTGGCAGTAGATAAACGTTGGTGTATCTCAACATCCCCTCATAACAGAGCCACTAATAACCATGTACTGACTATTTCCGTCCATGAGGTAGTTTATTTTGAAAACATATGGTGAAAAGTCCGTGCGGTTAGCCTCTACTGTGGTTAATATTCAGGAAAGACAAGAAGACCGTGGTAGTAGCTTCGTCCACTCACCATCATGCTACCCAACCCTGTGGCGTTAAGCTTAATTTCCTGTAAAAACGTCTAACTATTGTATTAGTATGAGATAATCAGTTATTATGGTGTTAATCGCAAGTGCAGTGTTAGAGGATACTGGATAAATGGCCCGACATCTTCATTCCATCGACCTACGTTTATGTATGGCAGTCAGATTGATGTTTTACAATCTCAAATAAATGACTACATTTTTTGTGGTGGTATAAATGTGTACAAAGTATGTGTACAGCGCCCGAGGCATACATACACTGTAGGTGGTCTGGTAGGGAATTTTTTCATAGTGGGGGTCATCATGAAGCAGGTGGATGGTCTGCAAGGAGAGAATAGGAAGCCGATTACAGGTGAGTCAACAAATGGGCCGGGAACACCCTGTGCCCCGGAGACACCTGTGGTGGCACCTCCAGGAGGAGACACTCGCCGCCCACCCCAGCAGGACGGGAGACGCTCTTTCGTGCCAGGAGGAGGAGGAGGAGGAGGGAGGAGACGTTCTCTGCCACCAAGATTTACTGTCTCCAAGCCAAACACGTCAGTGCAGAGTTTCACAAGAGAAAGTTAAGAGGGAACCGTTGTGGATTTATCCCACGATCTTTGGCACAATGCCCAACACTATAACTTTACAGGTCGGCCTCCTATATGCTATGGGGAGTCATACATTATGAGACAACACGTGGCGCTGCGGCACACCCTCACAACATTCATTAGAACAGTAATAAACTAACAGGACATATTACAACAGGCTATGGCATGCAGAAATATAAGTAATACAAGATATAATATATCAAATGACTTGAAGACTACTGCTAGATACCGTCCGCCTAGCTAGATGGAACCGCCTAGACCTGGGCACTGAGGGGTCTCGAGAGGCTGCCTGTGGTGGGGCTTGTGACCGCCAGCTCGGAGCACTGCTAAATCTGCCTCGTTCTCAGAGCACACACACCAGGAGTCAGGTAGTGCACTCACCACAATACTCCAGGGTTTTTATTTCTCCCCTTACAGGAGGTACTTGTCAACAATGGTGGAGAAAGAACAGGGGCTAAAATGTCGCATTTCAGCAGTTACCAGTTACAAGTTCAGAGAGTAAGCATACCGGGAAGCGATCGAATGTGAAACCCTTTACTCTTACATGTCTGAACCAAGAAGGGTGCGAGCCCTTTTGTAACCGTGGAACATTAGATCCTAAATCTTATGTCTAACACACCTGTAGCTGAGTAACACCCAAACAACAACAGGTAGCAGCACACGACTCTCCTTACAGAGAGAGAGAGAGAGAGAGAGAGAGAGAGAGAGAGAGATTGGAATTCGTGTTTTCTAGTTATATATATACAACATTACATCACTGGTAAAACAAGATAGTAAGAACTTATCGCAGAAATGACAACTGCAACGTTTAACTTTAAGGATAATATAGTATATTTTTGTTGTGTATAAAAAAGTGCAAATGATCAACCCGAAGACAACATGCAACAAACTGGTCAGTCAGTCAGTCGTGTGTGTAAAGGTAGTTGTAATACGGAGTTATAAAATGGCTTGTATTTTTCTTCCAGGACGCTGTATTGATAGCGGACTCGGAGCTGGAGACGGATCAAGTCTACCCATTTCATTCCCAGCCGCAGAGAATGTTGTTTAAAGGGGCAGCATCTGCTGTCTCTCCTGCTGTTGCCACTACTCATTACAGGTGTTAGTACTTCCTCCCCCTGCTGGTGCAACTCACAACCTCTTGTATCCTCCCTTTAAATGGTTTGTGTTGTCCTCTTATCGTTCACTGGCCTGTCCTCCCTTTCTCCTGTCTCCAGGCTCCTTCTGTCCTGCTCGTTTTGTGTGTCTTTTGGAATATCGGTCCTCTTCCTCCTCCTCCTCTCCTTGTCGTCTCCTCCTTCTCTTCCTCCACCATCCCACGTCCAGTTGACCGACTGGTCGCTTTGGCTCATTGATTATGCAATTTAGAGAGATGGGGCAATTTTTCACGAGGTGCTCCACACGCCACCTCAGAATTAGGCTTCAACACGCGAAAGAAAATCCCAGAGAGGAGGGAGAATGAGAGAATAGAGGTGCAGGTCAGGTCCGACGCGGGGAAATGAGAGCGTGAATCTTGGTGACTTCAGTCTGATGTGTTGAGTGGGGGTCGGAAGGCGTCGTGCATGGTGAAAAAGGAAGGTTAGGGGGGGGGGGGGTCGTGGAAGTCGTCGGGGGCGGAGATTGCAAGGCATCATAAGCGGTGGGAAGGAAGGTGGGGCATGGAAGGCTTCGTGGGCGGTGAAAAAGGAGGTAGGAGGTGTGTGTGTGTGTTTGTGTGTAGTGGGCAAGATTGAGAATCGTCGTGGGAGGTACAAAGGGAGGTGGGTAGTATCTGTGGTGAGCGAGTGACGCAAAAGTCATGTGGTGTGTATGTATGGGTGGGTAGGTGAGTGGGCGAGGGATGGTAGGCGGCGAGGTGGCAGTAGTAGTAATAGTAGTGGAATAGACGATGCAGGGTGTGGTGGCCGACAGAGTGGGTACTTAGTGCTGGCATCCATCACCTACGTCACAACATCACAACACAACCCAGCGAGAACAATAAAGGGCAGTAAATGGATTGCAGTAACAGGGAGCAAGTTGTGACGAGAGAAGAAAAGAGTGGAAGGGGAGTGAAGGGGTCGTGAGAGAGGGAAGGCGAGGGGAGGAGGATCAAGAGATGATGTAAACACTAGAGTGAAGGAACACAGGGCGACACAACCACCACAATGAGCGTCCTGAGGGAGGAGATTTAATTAGCAGGGGTAGTGTAAGGCAGGTACAGTAATGCTTGATATATATGAACAATTCGAGAGAAATAACCTGTTCTTGTCGATACACCAGCATGTCTCTCTCTCTCTCTCCAGCCAAAACACTGGTGATGTACTGCGAGGTGTGTGTGTGTGTGTGTGTGTGTGTGTGTGTGTGTGTGTGTGTCTGTGTGTCACGTAAACATTCATAATCTTCGGCACCAACATGATGTCTCTGAGTGAAGCTAAGAAATCACGAATTATACTTTTGTTTTAGAAGATTTTATTAATTTGGAAAAGGGGGTGAATGGAGGTGTTATGAGGAAGGAAGGAAGGAAGGAAGGAAGGAAGGAAGGAAGGAAGGAAGGAAGGAAGGTGGGGGGCGTGACAGGACCTCCTTGGTCATCAGCCCGGCATCGACTGTCCCAGCGCCGCCCATCTGAGGAACGCCCAGTCATTTCTCACTATTCGCCATTCTTCATAAGGAGCCAATACTGTACCCGGCGAAAGGCGAGCTCCGGAGGACACATTATTGATGTTGGGTGGACATACACGGACCTAGCAGCGAAGGGGAGGAGAGAGACAGGGGGATAAAGGGGAGATAAAGTAGAGGAAGGGAGATTAGAGGGAGGAGTGGAGAGGGGTGCAGGAAGAACCTGAGAAACAAGAGGAGGAAGTGAGGGAATGAGGGGGGTGAGGGGTGGAGAAGGGGTGAGGGGAAGGGGTGAGGGAAGGAGGGAGGAAGGGAAGGATGGGGTGAGGGAGGGGGTGAGGGGAGGGGAGGAGGAGGGGTGAGGGGAGGGAAAGGGTGAGGGGGGAAGGAGGAAGGGGTGAGGGGAGAAGAGAGGAGTGAGGGAAAGAGGGAGGGGAGGAGGGTGAGGAGAGAGGGAAAGAGGTGAAGAGAGGAGGAGGGGGTGAGGGGCTGTAAGAAATAAGACAATGAAATATATTTAGGTAAGGATATGATGAGGCGATGAGTGGACAGATGAAGTGAGACCAACCAACGAGGGGTCATGATCATAAGAGTGTATGGGGGGTGGAGATGAGAGAGACTGAATGAGGCAGGAGGGCCAGAGAGATGGCTTGGTGTACAAATGAGTGACAACACGTGGGTCCCCTTCACTTGATGATACTCTCTCTCTCTCTCTCTCTCTCTCTCTCTCTCTCTCTCTCACGCAACTCTGCAAAACTATGTCGAGGGGGGTGGTAGTTCGTGTCCACTGCCAGTTACTGTCCGCCTCCTCCAGGGCCACACACACACACACAGAGCATCTATGGCCAGCAGCCTCACGATGCTCCCACCTCTCTTTCTTACGTTACCTAACCTATCATCTTCTGGCACTCAACAGCTGTGCAAGTGAAGCTTTTGACAAGAATGTGTGATGGGCAAACATGACGGGGAGGAGTTACATGAGTGGGAGGGAGGGGAGGAGAGGAGGGGAGGTGGAGGAGGGGGAGGAGGGAGGAGAAGGAAAAGTTGAAGGAGGATGAGTTACATGAGAAAAACCTGAAGAAGTTACATGAGAGGGAGGAGGAGGAGGTGGAGTTACAAAAGGTGAAGGAGGAAGATGTGTGGCGGGAGGAGGAAGAGAGGGGGGGTGCAGCAAGAGGAGGAGGAGGAGGAGGAGGAGAAGTAGCAGCAGGAGAAGGAACAAGAAGAGCAAAAGGAAGAGGAGAAGAATTAACAAGAGAAGTGGAGGGAGAAAGGATAATGAAAATGAGGAAGAAGGAAGATATATGTGTTGCCTCCACTTATCCTTCACCAGCGGGGGATAATTAGATATTGAATAAGAGACGAAGGATTTATGGCAGCGCCGTATATGGAGGGGGGGGGGGAGTCATGTGAGAGAGGAAACCTTGACGGCACTACTAAGGTCATCCTTCACCCCTTCACCCTACACCCCACCACTCTTTCACCCCACACTCCCACCCCACCACACCTCCACCCCCACACATTTTTTTAACCACCTCCCACACGCTGTAATATCAACCGAGAATTTAGCTGCCAGAATAAAGATGGTATTGCTGATATTTCTGGAAAGTGAAAAGGTTCTAAGCTCGACAGTTTGCTGAATTCACGTCGTACTGAATTTCATGCACAACAGAGAAGCATATTCAAGTTATCTGTCCGTGTTTGTCAATAGCTGTCATGTTTGTCTGCTTTTTGGAGTAAGATCATTTTTGTTGCACTGTTAATATAAATTGTGTACAATCAAAGACAAAAGTCGTGTCGCAGTTTTGTCCATAGATTAAATATAACTCGTGAAACATCATGAGAGCCCTACCACAAGGCAGAGCGCACCAAAAATTTAGCTCTTCGGCATATGTTTTCACCATATTTCACGACACGAATTTTGTCTTTCATTGTACATTGCAAACCGCCTCTTATTTATTTGGATATTTTGCCTCACCGGCCTACAGCAGAAATGTCTACAGTTGATCTGGATAGTGAATTTACTCCACTGTATTCCACCCTGACTCCACCCTACAGCTATCATTCTTCCACCAATGTGTCCTTCTACACCTTAACTCCCCGCCCTATCTTTCTTGTCACACCCCTCTCGTTCCCCCGTCACTAACACACCATCAAATTCTCTCCCCTCACCCCAGCCCCTGCCAGCTGTAGTCCTCAGGCCATGACACATGTACACATTCCACAACGTCATATATCCACCAAACACACTTCACCTGAGATCCACCACTACACCAATCACCTAACACTTCCTCCGTCCATTCCTGCCACCAGTAGGTCTTCCTCCACTTTACCTACGTACAAGCAGCAACAGCACCACCAAGACCACCTGGCCTCCCCTTGAGAAATAGTGGCAGGCTAATGAAGCACATTAGCCTAAGAGGGTCATCAGTCGTGGAGGTGGTCGGGGTTGCCGCCGAGGTCCAGGCACACACTACTTTTTAATGATTGGTCGCGGTGGGGCAGGCAGGATGGAGGGGATGGAGCACACCGCCAGCCTCCTACCCCCTCTTATTCTCACTCACACATAAAAACAACAATAATTACAAACCAGAGATAACTTAAATCTAGATAAACACACATGTCAAGCCTTGAGTCATGGCAGCCTTGACCTCTGACCATTTGACTCCAGAATCAATAGACATAATGAGACTATAAACTACAAGACACCTGTGACGTTTAGCGAAGATATATATGACTGAACCTCAGCTGCTGCGCGGCCATCAATAGGAGGGACTGACATAAGGACAAGACAAAACACTGCTGCTAAACTTTCGTCGTTGGGGCGTAAATAAATGCATCTAGGTACTTTCAAGCCGCTGGCGAGTCCGAGTAATTAATAATTATCATTATAATCATTGGTCACAGAGTGCAGAACAATCTGAGCTAATTACTCCATGACAGCACAACAAAGCCTACCACATCCAAGACCTCTGTTGTCCAGACAGCCAACGAGACCCGGGAACCAACAACCTCGTCATTAGTTTGACTTCGTTGTATCGTAAAAGGTCAGGACTAATGTTCGAAATTTGGGACCACACACGGGACGATGTTTCCCGCATTCACAACACGACCAAACCTGGTGTCGTGTGCTGATCTTGCCCGTTAGATGACCAATCCCCCAACAGTACTCCTTACCCTCCCCATGGCCGTGAAAGACAACATCTTCACTGAAATACTAAATTTTTTCTCGTATGATTATGACTGCGTCAAGAAATAGCAGTATGAGGAGTCAGGACAGTCTGGTCAATTCGTGGCGCCTTCGCCGTCAGCTCCACCAGCCGGAGAGTGGCTGGGTAGTCAGTACGCCTCTTTGAGCGAAAAGTCAATAGCCATTTTAGCCTTTGTTGTGGTGGGTGCGTCTCGGTTTTCATGTGGGAAGCCTTATGTGCCATGGAAGAATTATGACTCGGAATTTCTTCGTTGCCATTTAATAATTAATTTCAATCTCCCTTACGTAAACTGGCACTGTGTACACTGCCGTCCTGCAGCCATCTTGGTGCTGAATTATTATTGACATTTCATAAATATTGTTTATGTAAACGTCACGTGTTCATTTCAAGCCGTAATTCAATTTTCAAGCCGTAATTCAAGTATTGAAGAGGAATCAGTTTGTTTCAAGATGTCTACAACCTTCGATTAGGCAAACACGACACACACCTTCAACGATACGGGTGAAATCGACAACAGCTACCTGGTATACAGTGGACACCAAATTGCCTCAGTGTAATCTATATAAGTCATTCTGTTAAGTAGTGAGGTAATGGCGTTTCGGAGCAGGAGGAAGGGAGGGGTAACGCCGCCGCCACCTTCCCAACATCTACCAAACACACCGTCAACATAGGGACGGAGGTCATAGCCCCACCCCAAACACACACACACACACCTGGAGTGATTCATCGTACTATACAGGCGAGTCACAATACTCGCGCTGGCCACCGCCACAGTAAACACTGACACGGCTCAAAAACGCCGAGTTACTAGGGTTCATTTTCTTACACAACGGGAGGTCCAGTTGAACTCTACACACACTGTCTTGTATAACTATGAAAATTACCAAAAATTTCATGTCATAAAGTGAAGGGTCTCAACATTCTAGACACGCATCGTCTGCCATTATATAAGACTGGCCTGTACTGACGTCTCATACCGTACATCAAGAAGCTCAGTGTCCCTCGGCTATATAAGATCTTACAGTAACATTCTTTTATGCGAGCTCCCACTTCCTCATTTCCCTACTATGCTGTTGAAGCAGAACGGTCCTAGTGTGCAGAAACAAATATGAACATTTTCAGATCACTGCTGGCCAACGCTTCTTGTCACGGCGACAACAACACATCCCCATAGACAAGTTGCTGTATGAGGTACAAGTTTCTAAGATGAAGAGTGAAGAATTGATAAATCCCTATTCCCTGAAGCGAGCATCAGCAGAAGCGAGGCGAGCCCCGCCCTTCAGAAAGCACTGGCTGCCCAAGCACCGCCCACAAGCCCCCCGCAAGCACCATCACAAGCATCTCCCCTCCACTACTCTAGGCGGTTCTCTTACAATTAGGCTCTGCCTCTTCCCTAATTAAACCAAATTATTAATCCATCTTCAAATTAATTATATAAAATATGATTTAAAACTCCTTTAATATTCTTCAATTAGTTGCTTCAAGCGCAGTATGACCCTAAGGAAGACTTAGTTTACATCCACTCAGTTTATCCAGAAGCACTAGAATGACTAAGCTCGACCCAACAGCAGCAGCAGAAGCCGAGTGTTGGGCGGCTGGACACTCACCACGGGGCTGAAGTCCACCTGTTCCCTCAGGAGTCGTTCTTCAGAGAGGGAGTAGCGGGCGTCGTGGGTGAGGGCGTCCACGGGTCCCTTCTCCACCTGGTGCTTGATGGCCTTGTACAGCAGGAAGAGCGCCGTCCCCGCGTCCCCCTGTCACCAATAATGAAGATTAATTTCAGGTTAACCATATAATAATAGTAGTTTACTGTAATTAATGAGCCAGCGTGGGAAACACCACAGACAAATGACAACCTTAATTAGACGTGCTAATTATCTTACTACGGGGAGCTATATATATGCAATGATAAAATGCGAGGGGGTGGGAGGCACAGTACTCACCCTGAGGTAGCCATACATGCAGAGAGCCATCCAGTTGGTGAGCATCTTCTCCACCACGCTCTCTGTCCTGCGGAGCATCAGCTGCGGGTGTTTGGTGGCGGCGGCGTTGGATACCAGCCGCAGCATCAGACACCTCATCACCTCCGTCAGGTACTCCATGCGGCCCATCTGCAGCACCGTCACCAGCGAGGCCACGTTCACCCTGTAGTGCACACAGGTGAGTTACGGCACTACCTGTCTCCCGCCCTCATACACCCACTACTACTCTCATACACCACCCTCATACACCCACTACTCCCATACACCACCCATAACATACAAACACCTTCCATTAATTATCATACCCACAAAACATTATTTCATACACTGGAATATCACACTTAAAATACAACATACACACCATAAGTATTAACTGAATTATCCTTCACTCTAATGTTATCCTATGAGTTTTACCCACAGAGATCCTTCACGCGCTGGTTAAACATAAACAACACCACTTTACACTTCAATTGATACCCATTCAATATTTTCTGTTTCAATATTTTCTGTTTACAAACTTTCTAATATTCTCTAAGACGATTTGACATTTTAAACCAAGGAAAGAGAAAATTTAATTATTTCTATAAGGGTTACGACACTATGATTGGTCCTTAGGAATTGATCTTAGTGCCACATAGACCAATCATAGTGTGTCCCCCCTTAAGACTACTAAAGAGGATTGTCCACTTACTTGTCTCTGATGCTGAAGGACTTTTGAGACTCGAGGGTGTCGATGAAGGAGAGGAGGAAGTGCTTGTTGGCGATGAGCTGTTCGAACTGCAACATAGCCACGTCGTAGTTGGTGCGGGGGCCGTGTGCTCGAGCCTGTGAACCAGAAGAAAAAAACCCTCATTAACCACACCAATTCTATGACACACTCCACATTAACCACCAACATATTACAACAGACTCCACATTAACTACCACATCGTTGACCAAACACAAAAAAATGCCATGTGTTGTACCTTAATATATAACTGAACAAAACCCTATTTTTCACCGTCGTTATATTGTTTTAGGTACAATGTGAAGTACTGTACACATCACGGGTGGTGGCACACGGCTAAATAATACGAAGGCGCAAGAGAGACAGGTACACAAAGATCAGGTAACCCCCATCATGCTTAGCGGGGGACAACAAGACCAACGCTAGTCCTGTGTTGGTGGTCCCTTAGTCCTCCTCACTTGGTATAGGGGGAGCACTGACATAACGACCACGTGAACAAACCACTACACAGATATAGGGTAGTTACCAATAGGAGGCACCAAGTCCTGGGAATTCAGGCGATTGTGCAGAATGTGGGTTGGGGAGGCCAGCGGTGGAAGGTGAATCACCCCAGCATGGCTAGTAGGGTCAGGGCCGCCTCCAGCGTCTAAGATATGTAAGCATAGTGCAAGGTGCCATGGCTAAGGACAGGCGAGCGATATAAACAAAGTGACTGGAAGCTAAGGACAAGATAACTCGAAGATCAGCGGTTGAAGGCGGGGGGTAATGACAAGGATTAAGATACAAGGAGAGACGAAGCTGGAAGATGGAGAGTCGTAAGAGGACGGAGACAGCAGGAGGCGAGGCGAGGCGAGGCAGGGAGGCGAGGAGGTGTGCGGCGGTGATCCATCATGAGGGTGACGGCCTGACAGCCCCCACAACACTTTTAACGACACAGCGGAGGGCGGCGTAATGCCCCCGGGACGCCCACGCTCACACACACCTTCTACAACATGACAATTCATCAGCTTAATTGCCCATCCAGATTACCTCCTATATTAATGGTTCCGTAAATAACAGCCACACAACACGGCTGTCACACCCGATAAATAACACCACAGTCACGCAGTTATTAAAGGCGCGCTTCTGATATCATTTGTTAGATCGCTTGGTGGTGCAATACACAATTACAATGGCTCCTTCCTAGTGACCCAGCACCACAATATACCAGGTGAACACAGAACGTGTGGGAGTCGATGTGAGTATGGAAGCAAATGTGGCTGTGGGCGTGAATAACGACACAGGCGAAGGACAATAATCACATTAAGAGAAAGTGAGGCTGAATGTGGGCGGCCTCCACACTCGCTAATCTTTTATACCAACAATCTCAGTGTCTTAGCTGCCTCATCCCCCCCCCTCCCCCCACCTTTACGCATCACCACACAAAGGGAGACACGATGACCATTTTAAGAGGTTCTACAATTCCCGTTTACATCATATTCCCGAGGGCTACAAAGGCCACGTCTTCAACTTCCGATATTCACACCTGTACGGCGTACCTGTGTGATGGCCATCCTGGCAAACTACTCCGCCTCCCGTCATCCTATGAATAACCCTGACAAAAATCCTGACAGATCCGGATGAAGTAGTGGGGAGAGGAGAGTGAAAAGGTGGGGAAAATTACGAGGGAAGGAGGGAGAAAGAACTGGGAGGGAGGGAGGAAGGGAGGGGGAGAGAGATATTTGAAGGAAGGGATGAAGAAGAGTAAAAAAAAGACGACGATCATAAAACCAACATTGAACTTTCTCCTAAACATCCTTTTTCATATCCCCCCACCCCCCTCCCTTCTCCACCTCCTGCTCCTCCTCTTTCTCTCGCTCCTCTTCCTCCTCTCCCCTTGGTTGACTCTCACTGCTCCATCCACCAGTTTACAGTATATACAAAGATGCTCCTCCTTCACTCCATGATTAATTTACTGAAAGGGAATCCTGTGTTCCTTTTCATACACAAATCCCAGACCGACTCCCTCACGATAACCAAAGAGGGAGTCGCCAGTTTTTCCCTCAGCAAATTACAAAGCGGCTCCCACTATGAATATTCAGCAAGCCGCACATAGCTGCCACTATGATAAGTGTGTCGGGATAGTGGCTGCGAGGGAGGGGGTCCGGGATAGTGCAAGGGGGAGGATAGTGCAAGGGGGTGGAGGATAGTGCAAGGTTGAGGATAGTGCAAGGGGCGTTGAGGATAGTGCAAGGGGTTGAGGATAGGAAAGGGGTTGAGGATAGTGAGGAGGGTCCAGGATAGTGCAATGAGGGTCAGGATAGTGCAAGAGGGGTCCAGGATAGTGTAATGGGGTCCAGGATAGTGCAGAGGGTCCGGATAGTGCAAAGGGGTCCAGGATAGTGCAAAAGGTCCAGGATAGATTCCAGGCAAAGAGGTCCAGGATATTCCGGGACAGTGCAAGGGTCCAGGATAGTGTAGTGGGGTCCAGGATAGTGCAAGAGGGGTCCAGGATAATGCAAGAGGGTCCAGGAGAGTGTAATGAGGTCCAGGATCCAGGATAGTAATGAGGGTCCGGGATAGTGCAAGAGGGGTCCAGGATGGGTAGTGTAGTGGGGTCCAGGATAATGTAGGGGTCCAGGATAATGTAGTGGGGTCCAGGATAGTGTAATGGGGTCCAGGATAGTGCAAGAGGTCCGGGATAGTGTAGTGGGGTCCAGGATAGTGGGGTCCAGGATAGTGTAATGGGGTGGGGTCCAGGATAGTGTAATGGGGTCCAGGATAGTGTATGGGGTCCAGGATAGTGTAATGCTGGGTCCAGGATAGTGTAGTGGGGTCCAGGATAGTGTAGTGGGGTCCAGGATAGTGTATGGGTCCAGGATAGTGTAATGGGGTCCAGGATAGTGTAATGGGGTCCAGGATAGTGTAATGGGGTCCAGGATAGTGCTATTACTATTATTACTTCCACAATAATTTCCACTAATACTATTACTATTAAATTACTTCAAAGACAATATTTGCAACTAGCCTACCATTACTCTTAGAACTATTACCCTAGTTCATCCACCCCCACTATCAACTAATAGTATTAAGCATCACAAAACGAACCGGAATAACGAAAAGTAAATACAACACGATAATAACACGACACAGAGGAATAAAAGCCTAATAAAGATGTGAATAGACAAAGAAGAGAAGGGGAAGGCCACAAAAGGGAGAGGGGACGGGGGGAGAGGGGACAAACGGGAGCAAGAAAAGGGACAGGGAGACGGGGGGGGGGGAAGGGGGGGAAGTGGAGAAGAAAGGAATGAAGATGGGATGACGGTCACTGAGGGTGAGGAAGATGAGGAGGAATAACTGAGGAAGATACACCAAGGAAGAAGCGAGGGGGGCGGGAAGAAGGAATGACAGGTATAATATGGAGAAGAGGAGAGAGAGAGAGAGATATAAGTGATCAGAGGGGAGAAGACAGACACTGAACAGAGGAGGAATAAGAGAAGGAAAAGAAGAAGACACTCCTAGTAAAAGGGAGAGAAGAGGAGAGTAGTAAGAGAGGGAGACAGCCACAAGATGGAGGAGGTATCAGGGGGAGGGAGGGAGGGAGAGAGAGCGGGTAAGACGGATGGGACGGGTTGGGGATTGTCTAAATTTGGGGAGAGATGAAGGAGATTAAGACAACAGGACCAGGGAGGATATACACCAGTACCTCCACTCTCACAACATCCTGCACGGGAATGTAAACAAAATCCTGGTGGTTGGAGATGCCACTGTCACAACAGGTCACGACGCTCCCGGCACGGTCTGCCCACTTCAAGTCCTCAGGTGAGACTCTGAGGTTAGCTACATCTAACAGGTGGGATTGATAAAATTACACTGATGCTATCATACGTTCCATAACTTCACTTACAGGGAAAGAATTACTAATGAAGCTTTCAGAGCACAGGTGTTGGCCATCTAGTGAGGGGGACCAGGTGACCAGATTCACCTGAGCCAGAGTTGTGCGTCAGCTTACCAAACACTTAACTAAATTCCACCATGAACTGCTGTAACGCGGGGCTGTAACCTCCATAATGTAGCAACTATACGATGCATTACGCACGTATTGCAACTTGCATGATGCTGCTGCTCTAAATGATTTCGTACCCGCGCACTAACTTACATCATACTATTACTACCTACACTCTCATACCTGGGCCCTTGTGGTGTAATACTGCCACTACAACACCTTCATACACTGACAGTAACTTACACAATACTGCCACTACAAGCACCTATATGCCTGAGACTTAAGGTAAATAACGTCCTCACTACAAGGTGGTTCGTGCCTGAGACGCAGGTTGGGGAACACCACCAACACCAGCAGAGGGGCGGCCGATGACACCCACTTACCTCCGGGAGCGGCAATTTTGAGGTGATGATGCAAGTGACATTTGATTATGAAATAGACGGCAGGAATAATATCATAGCACCCCGGAGGAGACAACCAGATAGCCTTCAGCAAGTACTAGCTCAAGTGATACTTCGCATTAACCCTCATAAACTCTTATTTAAACCATCAATTCCAAGGTACAGCGAGTTCAAAAGCCACCCAGTACACGCTTCACTAAGTCTGCGTGTCACTTCAATACCAGAGTTTCTTGATTGTGTTTCTAACTCTTCTCTCGTGGTCCGTGTTACTATACCAACAGGGAGTGGTGGTGCAGCGTCCCTCCAACACCAGCTACAGTACTTAGGTAACACCTTGAGCGGAGACGTTTTCTTCGCGGGTCAGCGTGTGATTATGATAATGTCCTTCATGAGCGCTAAACAATGGGTGTCTAAGCCCCGGCCCTCGGAGTGTTACAAGAGGCTTCCATCATGGTACTGTGTCACTCCCCACCGCCAGTCTCCTCCTTGATGCTCGCTCAATGCTCTAATATTCCTTGCGTCGCCTCAGGCCGAGTTATAACACTCATATTCGCTTTAGTTACTGTAGCGCCCCTCCTCCCCCTCCAGGTGTACACGGCAGTACCTCCGCCTCTCACGTGCATCACCACCATCTTCCTGCACGTAATATATCGCCAGAGCCGTACCCTGAGAGCGTCACCACCCTGGTCACGTACTCTCAACACCTAACACC